CCCCGCCCCACCCCGGCCCCTCAGCTGCAGAGGCTAAAGCAACTTTTCCAACGCAAGCCCAAGGAGGAGCCCATCCAAGAGGAACTCCAGGCCAACGGGGAGCTGGTCACCTCCACAGGGGGGCCCATCTATTACTACGAGGAGGAGGAGGAGGAGGAAGAGGAGGAGCCTGAGCCACCACCGGAACCAGAAAGACCCGTCAACGACAAACCTCACAAGTTCAAGGATCATTACTTCAAAAAGCCCAAGTTTTGCGATGTCTGCGCCCGCATGATTGTCCGTGAGTCCTAACTGCGAGAAGTACAGAGGGGGGTTGGAAGTGTACTGGGAGGGCTGTTGAAGAATTGGTTCCAGTCTCGGCAGGGCAAGAAGGGGTCCGACTGGAGTGGCTTCTGTCATCACAGTACCTCCGTGCTGGAGGGAGTTTGAACTGCCTCTTGAGAAGGTGGTTACCTGGGGTAGTAAGGCGAGAGCGCTTTCCGAGGAATAATTGGAAGGATTTCGGGGGGTGTTAGGGGGACTCACCTCAGAAAGGAACAGAATAAGGGACAAAGGTAGAGAGAGGAAAAACGTGTTGCCTGTGATCAGTGGGGAGCAGTGTGTTGAGTGGGGATGCTGGCTCCACCCATCTGTTTGGGTAGGGGATGGGGGGTAGGGTTGTCAGATCCAGGTTGGGAAACTTCTGGAGATTTGGGGATGGAGCCTCAGTGCAGACAAGGGCTTCAGTGGGGTACAAAGACATAGAGTCCGCCCTACAAAGCCTCCGTTTTCTCCAGGGGAACTGATCTCTGCAGTCTGGAGATGAGCTGTCATCCTGGGGGATCCCCAGGTCCCACCTGGAGGCTGGCATCCCTGAGGTGCTAAAGCACGGTGCCAAAATTAAAGTTTGGCCCTGCTCAGCTGGTTGTGGGGATTGGGACCTCATTTGCAATTCAAATTTTACTTCCTATCCTCTGTGTTTGTATATGTTTGGGACAGACCTGCATTTAAGGATGTGCGTGGTCTTTTGTTCCTTATAGAGAGGCCACTAGAACGAGACAAAGTTGTTGAGTGTGGGGGGAAGCATTGTGTCAACCCACCTTTCCCTGAACTAGTGGCTTTTTTTCTATTGTAGTCAACAACAAGTATGGCCTAAGATGTAAGAACTGCAAAACCCACATCCATCATCTGTGCCAGGGCTATGTGGAATTTCAGCGCTGCTTTGGCAAGATTGTAAGTATTCCTGCTCCACCTGAAAGATGTTTCTGCCTACTATATACTTTCATATCCGGGAAATGCCCAGGCTTGACTACTACAATGTGTTGGGGGGGGGAGGGCAGGGGCTGCCCTTGGAGACTGTTCAAAAACTTCATATCCTTCAAAATTTCAGTTATGTAACTGGGACTGGGGGTAGAGAATGTTGCAGGCATTTCCTTTGTTAGAAGTATTGAAACTGTTAATTTTATTCTGGAACCATCAATATCTTAATTATCATATAGGATTCAATTTTTTTCCAGTGGTTATCTATGAGAACAAACTGGAGTGAATTTATATTTATATTATAGAAGAACAGCATACAGAGATAAGTTATATGTTGCAATGCATAAGAAAATTGGGCGTCATCAACATTTCACTGGGTTCTAGATTGGTGTTCCCTGATTCCATACCATTTGGAAAAAATGCTGTAACTCAGGAGATATACATAATGATGCATCCATCCTATTAGTTTATCCCAAGCTTAATGAACATTTTAAAAGAATCTGAACTCCAGGATCTGGAAAGCAAAAGAATGCTTTGCACAAACCTGTCCATAGAATCCATAGTACTGAATGGAGCTGAACCCTTGTCTAGATCTGAAGGAAGATAGGGAAATGGCTAAGAAGCTAAATGCCTTTTTTGCCTCTGTCTTCACTGTGGAAGATGAGAAGTGCTTGCCCACTCCAGAACCGCTGATTTCAGGAGGGGTGTTGAAAGACCTGAGTCAGATTGAGGTGACGAGAGAGGAGGTCTTAAAACTGATAGACAACTTAAAAACTGATAAATCACCAGGCCCAGATGGCGTACATCCGAGAGTTCTGAAAGAACTCAAATGTGAACTTCTGGATCTCCTGACAAAAATATGTAATCTTTCCTCAAAATCTGCCTCCATTCCTGAGGACTGGAAGGTAGCTAATGTCACTCCCATCTTTAAAAAGGGTTCCAGAGGAGATCCGGGAAATTACAGGCCAGTCAGTCTGACATCGATACCAGGTAAATTGGTGGAAACCATAATTAAGGAAAGAATTAGTAGGCACATAGATGAACAAAACCTATTGAGGCAGACTCAGCATGGGTTCTGTAAGGGCAGATCTTGTCTCACTAACCTGTTAGTGTTCTTTGAGGGGGTGAACAAACATGCGGACAAGGGGGATCCAATAGATATTGTTTACCTTGACTTCCAGAAAGCTTTTGATAAAGTTCCTCATCAAAGGCTCCTAAGTAAGCTCAAAAATCATGGGGTAAAAGGACAAGTCCTTTTATGGATCAAAAACTGGCTAGTTCATAGAAAACAGAGAGTGAGTGTAGGTGGGCAATTTTCTCAGTGGAGGGTGGTAAGCAGTGGGGTACCGCAGGGATCAGTACTTGGTCCACTGCTTTTTAACTTGTTCATAAATGATTTGGAGATGGGAGTAAGCAGTGAAGTGGCTAAATTTGCAGATGATACAAAGTTGTTCAGGGTGGTGAAAACCAGTGAGGATTGTGAGGCACTCCAAAGGGATCTGTCAAGGATGGGCAAGTGGGCGTCAACATGGCAAATGGGGTTCAATGTGACCAAGTGCAAGGTGATGCACATTGGAGCCAAAAATCCTAAATATAAATACACATTGATGGGGTCTGAACTGGCAGAGACTGAGCAAGAGAGAGATCTTGGAGTTGTAGTGGATAACTCACTGAAAATGTCGAGACAGTGTGTGACTGCAATAAAGAAGGCCAATGCTATGCTGGGGATTATTAGGAAGGGTATTGAAAACAGATCAGCCAATATAATAATGCCCCTATATAAATCAATGGTAAGACCTCATTTGGAATACTGTGTGCAGTTCTGGGCACCACACCTTAAAAAGGATATTATAGCTTTGGAAAAAGTGCAGAAAAGGGCAACTCGAATGATAAAAGGGTTGGAACACTTTCCCTATGAGGAAAGGTTAAAGCGCTTAGGGCTCTTTAGCTTGGAGAAAAGACGACTGAGGGGTGACATGATCGAGGTTTATAAGATTATGCATGGGAAAGAAGGAAGTGGTGGTGGCTACAAGCATGGACGGCTTCAAAAGGGAATTAGATAAGCATATTGAGCAGAGGTCCATCAGTGGCTATTAGCCACAAGGTATAGATAGGGGCTCTGGGGCAAGTGATGCTCTGTCATCTTGGTGCTTGGGGAGGTCAACAGTGGGAGGGCTTCTAATGTCCTGGCCCCACTGGTGGACCTCCTGATGGCACTGGTATTTCTGGCCACTGTGTGACACAGGGTGTTGGACTGGATGAGCCTTTGGCCTGATCCAACATTGGCGTCTCTTATGTTCTTACGTTAGATCTAAAGAACTATTGGTGTTTTGCCCTATGTCAAAAGAACGATCATGTCCCAAGAAAATGTGCAACCTATATATCACTCACCTGGTGTAAGCATTGCAATATGAGCATCCCAAATGTGTCTGTTTCTCTGCATATACACTCAGGTGCAAAAATATTAACCTACATAGGGGTTGCATCCCAATCCCCAGTGTGGAAGTTCTTTTTACGTAGGATAAAGTAACACATAGTGGCCCTACATTTGTTTGTAGCTCTTAAAAGATGTGCATCTGAATCCATTCTTTCTTGTGGATCCAGTTGTGCCAAGTAGCATTGCCTCAGTTCCCCAGCTGCATGGTGGCAGCTCTTTCCGGAGGGGTGTGGTGAATATGGCAAAACTTACACCACATTTTTTGCAGATTGTTAAGTGCTATTTGGAAAGATAATTCATTTTCAAATGTCAGTGTATGAGATATATATATCAAATTGAAGAACTGAGGCTGTTAGTCATTTGTTTAGGAAAGTGTAACACATGAACACATGAAGCTGCCTTATATTGAATCAGTCTAGTGGCCCATCAAAGGCAGTATTGTCTACTCAGGCTGGCAGCAGCTCTCTAAGATCTCAGGCAGAGGTCTTTCACATCATCTACTGCTAGATCCTTTTAACTGGAGATGCCAGGGATTGAACCTGGGACCTTCTGCGTGCCGAGCAGAGGCCCTGCCACTGAGCCACAGCCCCTCTCCAGTGTATGTCCTGTCCTCATTTTGTAGAGGGATGTGTTCTGCTGTCTCCTCTGAACTCTTGCTTGTCTTTGTCTTGCAGCCTCCAGGTTTCCGTCGTGCTTACAGCTCTCCATTGTATAGTGCCCAGCAACAAGGTGAGTAAACCGTCACACCTTTGACCCACCTGTGTTCTCTTTCACATGAGCACACGAAAGTGGCCTGGATCCGACCTACCTGAGGGACCGCCTTTCCCCGTATATACCCCCGAGAGCGCTTCGGTCGGGGACCCAGAGCCGGTTAGTGGTCCCGGGTCCCCGAGAAGTAAAGTTTGCTGCTACTAGGGCGAGATCCTTTTCAGTGGTGGCCCCTACCTGGTGGAATGAGCTCCCGGAGGAGATCAGGGCCCTGCGGGACCTTATGCAGTTCCGCAGGGCCTGTAAAACGGAGCTCTTCCACCAGGCCTTTATGTAGGGGCCGCCACTACTATCATTGCCACCATTACCACCAACGGTGGCAACACCATCAGGATCAGAAATCATTGCCACCATTATCATCAACGGTGGCAACATTATTAAGATCAGAAATCGTCCGGGTAGCCTAACAGTAAGGAGAACCGCGCTGCAATGAGACCAACGGGCTGGTTTGAACCACCTACCTCATAGTGGCGCCAAATGGGACCGATGGACGACACTATTATAACAACTGAAACCATCTTGACAAGCAAGCACTTTATTGTAGTTAGTGATGTTGAAGTATTTTATTGCTATTTATCGTTATGTCATTATTGTTATATTTATGATTTTATTGTTTTACTGGTTTTATGCTGGGCTTATGCCCCTTGTAAGCCGCCCTGAGCCCGCGTGCGGGGAGGGCGGGGTAAAAATGCTTAAAATAAATAAATAAATAAATAAATAAGTGCCATTTACCAAGTCAGACCCTTTTTGGTCTATCAGTGTCACTATTATCTACTCTGGCTGGCAGCAGCTCTTTAGGGTCTCAAGCAGATGTTTCCCCCATCACCTACTACCTGATCCTTTGCTCTGGACATGGCAGGGATTGAACCTGGGACCTTCTGCATGCAAAGCAGAGATTCAACCACTGAGCCACAGCACCTCCTCTTGCCATATACCGCAACCTAACTTGCTGGCTTCCCTCTGCAGCCAACCGAGGCGATCCTGTGTTTGAGACGCTGCGAACGGGTGTTGTCATGGCAAATAAGGAGCGCAAGAAAGGACAGGAGGAGAAGAAGAATGTAAGTGACTTGGATTTGGGGAGTGCAGCGTGGATGAATGATATGTCTTCTCGTAACCACAGGGCCAGGCCCTCCAGGGTGAAGGGAGCATGTTCTAAGGGGCTAATGTGACAAAGCATTTAGGAATGTCACCACCCACCTAGACTCTCTGTGCCTTTCAATATGCACCCCTCAGCTTCAAAGCTTACCACAGCATATCAAAAGTATAACACAATAAAAACAGTTCCAGTAAAAATAAACACAAAACCATATTTTAAAAGAATTAATAAAAGGTTGAAATTTAGAAGAGGATGTAAAAAAACCCTCTAAAAGAGCGAGCAGTCTAGGTGAAACAAGTTTTTGTTTTAACTGCCTTTCTAAAAGGTGCCAAAGAGGGCGCCCAATCGATAAAGGGCAGGGCATTTCTATAATGTTGGTGCTACCAATAAAAAGGCCCTGTTGAAAGGGTGGTGCATGAAGCAAGGCCTTACCAGATTATCCAGATAGGTTGATAGTTATTACCTCCCCTGTAGGAAGGGCTGTATCTGTCACTGTGCCAGCACATCCTGTTACTTGATGCCTCTTTCAGGTCAGAATGAAGTCACATTAAATGCATGAAGGTTGTGAAAACGGTAACTATTCAGTGTAATTCCATCCCCATAATATCTGCTTACCTGTGTTCTGATCTCACAGCGTTGTGCAAGTTCCATGTTGGATGCTGTTGCATTAGAGTGGGGGAATGCAAAATGCTGTGATGTCATGACATGGTATGTTGCCCTAGAAGTGCATAGAGAGAACTTTGTCTCCATCTTCCATGGAGGGGGGACTCAGTGCCAGGACTGTATATTGTTTATAGCTCAATTCAGGTGACTAAGGATGCTTTCTTACAATCGTAGAGAAAGCATGCGCCACTCCCACAGACTCATCTCTCCTTTCTTACTTTGTAGCCATTGGCTGCCATGATGGAGGAGGAAACGGAGCCGCCTAAGATCGAGGGCGGCAAACAAGAAGAAGGTAAGTGCCCTAGTGAACCTCTTCCAGAAAGGTTCTGCGTTTCACACGTTTGCTAGATTGCTGATCTGATGCTGAACTCACACTGGCAACTTGTAAATGCAGTTGGTGAACACAGCAGAGAGCAGTAAGAGCACAACCGCAGTGCTCCAAACCTTTCATCCGTTACACTGATGGAATGATGCCCAATGGCAACAATGCATATGCAATGGCTTTAAAACCAGGGGAAATATTTGCAATTAATTTCAGACTACCTGCCTTAAAGTAAAGCAAGGAGTGGGAAGAAAATGTGACACTAGGTTTGTCATTTGACATCCTGAGAATCACAGATTTGATTTTTTTTTAACGGCAAGTTTCTAGCCTTTCGAAGAAGACTTGAGGGAGTTGGGAAAGTATTTAGTGCCTATCAGTGCTAGACTAATGAAGAGTGAGTAACGTGTAATGAAGTATCTGATGCTAGGAAAGGACTTAGCAGGAAAGGACTTTCCAAAGGATACAGGACTTCGCTGCCTGTCACATCCCTTGTCTTGTGACCGGCAGGAGAATAAATTCTACACAGAAAGGAAATATATGCAAATTGGCATTGGTGCTGGTTGAAGTATTTGGCTATCTTTGGTGCATAATTTGGATTTCTTGGCTGCAGAGTTTTTAATGTTTTTGGTGCAGCATACAGAGGACCTTTGACATTGAATACCCGATATGGCAGATATGATGTTGAACCGCTGGCAGATGTGAAACAGCTTGTTAAGCAGGTGTCCAGCTTCATGGGAGTAATTGGCAAGATCATGAGCTTTTCCACATTCTCATTTTCCTTGCTTGTGTGTTCCTGTTGCTTTGGGGATATTCTTCTGTTCTGCATGTGTTTTGCTCATTCTTGATTCAATATTACTTCTCTTTACGTCTAACATATTTCCCTGCAGAGTTAAACTGCAGGTTTTTATGCTGGACATGAAGCGACGTAATATCGAATCGACCACTAGAGGGAGCAAAACCCATGCAGAACAGACCCCCTACCCCAGAGCAACAGGAACACACAGCGAGGAAAATGGGAATGCAGAAAAGACCCCCCAGCTCTTTCTGATGATTATATCAGGAGATGGAATCCCAACATCAGTACTGAGTATAATGGCAGCAATTTTAGCAAGCAGTTTAAGGGCAGCATTCTTTGAAATAATTTTGGAATTTTTAAACCATATTTTTCTTCGTATAACTACAAGGGTGAGCTAAATCCTCTTTGTATATGTAGGTCTGCCTGGAGCAGTTTATGGGTCGCAAAAATCAGACTGCCATTGTTAGTCGTAGGAACTTGTGACTCTTGAACCTGGTATTGAGCAGCTATACAAATAGGTGCTAGTTTCCAGAATGTTTATTTGTATTTCCTAAAAGGAGGAAGGCAATTCCAAGAGGAAGAGGGATTTTACCATGTGGGGGGCTGCATGGAAAATTTGTTGGTGGCGATGTCTCCATGGGGCCAAGGAATAGTGCATGCTGTAGGATGTCCTTTCTCCACTAGTCCAGGAGGGTATTCACTGTCACCTATCAGTGTTAGACAAAAGATCTAAAAAAGTGTGTGCGCACACAAAAGCTTATACCTTGAATTAAACTTTGTTGGTCTGAAAGGTGCCACTGGACTCAAACTTTGTTCAGATAGGAATGTGAACGCCCATGCCCCAGAGCGATGACATCCCACAGAACAAACATGGGATTTAGTACTGGGCATAGAAGAGAGGCTTGGGACTGTATAGGGCTATGCATGGTGAGTCTTAGGAAAATCAGAAGCTGCCTCATACCAGTTCAGGCCACTGGTCTGTGTAGCTCTGCACTGTCTTCTTTGGCAGGCTGAGGTTCTCCAGGTCTTGGGTAGAGAGGGCTCTTTCCTAATACCTGTTACCTGCGAGTGATTAACACATGGAATTTACTGCCACAGGAGGTGGTGGCAGCTACAAGCATGGATGGCTTCAAGAGGGAATTCGATAAACATATGGAGCAGAGGTCCATCACTTGCTATGAGCCACAAGGTCTAGATAGGAACTTGGTCTGGGGCCACTGATGCTCTGTATTCTTGGTGCTGGGGGGGGGCACTGCTGGACCTCCTGATGGCACCTGGTATTTTTGGCCACCGTGTGACAGAGAGTGTTGGACTAGATGGGCCATTGGCCTGATCCAACATTGGCTTCACTTATGTTCTTATGTTCTTATGAGTGTTTCAACTAGAGGTGTCTGGAACTGATCATGGGGTGTCGTCTGCATGCAAAGCAGCATTGTTGTGGAGTGGAATTTATTTTTTCTGAAATTCAAGAGTGCTTTCACACAGGCCAAATAACAGTTTCAAGCCACTTCAGCGCCCGTTTGCAAGTGAATTTGTCATTTCACACAGTAAAATCCAGTTGCAGCGTGCATTGAAAGGGGATTGAAAGTGCATTATTTAGATGCTTTCTGCGCAAATGGCTCTCCCCGCTCCTGCATTTGTATTCTTCTGCCGTTTTCGCTCATTTCCGCAGAGGTCTTTGTAGTCCCAGGAACAAAAATGCAGTTTGTCCCCTCTTGTGGCACAGCAAGGGAATTCCCAGAAACAGGGAAGTCTGATGCTGAGCTGCAAGAGAGGACAAACTGCGTTTTTGCACCTCGGACTGCAAAAACATCTGCAGAAACAAGCGAAAGAGGTGGAGGAATACAAATGCAGGAGCAGAGAGAGCCATTCCTGCCAAAAACGTCTTAGTGTGTGTGAAAGCAACAATCTTTTAGATATAGCGATTTACTCCTCTCATTCTTTTTTTCTCTTTCAAAAGAGGAATTTCTTGTTGCTTTTTCATTGCCATTTTCTGTTACACCACAGGGTGGTGTTTTAGATGCCGTTTTATAAATACAACTCTTGCAGGGCAGTGCTCTAGCAGGAGGACAGAAAGGTTTGGGAAGACAGTGCCTGCCCTTGAGCATCTACAGAGTGCAATTTTGGAATTTCACAAAAACATCCCTTTCCTGCCTCTTCCTTTCTTCAGATCAAATTGGAATTCATTTGAAACAGACTCCAAATTCCTAAGAAGAGGGAAAGAAATGAATTGTTTGGGTTTCAGGGAGAAAGTGGGTTGAGCCAGTTTGGTGTGGTGGTTAAGTGTGTGGACTCTAATCTGGGAGAACTGAGTTTGATTCCCCACTCCTCCACTTGCACCTGCTGGATGACCTTGGGCAAGCCGTAGTTTTGTCAGAGCTGTTCTTGAAAAAGAGCAGTTTCTGTCAGAGCTCTCTCAGCCCCACCCACCTCACAGGGTGTCTGTTGTGGGGAGGGAAAGGGAAAGGAGTTTGTAAGCTGCTCTGAGACTCCTTTGGGTAGTGAAGGGCGGGGTATAAATCCAATCTCTTCTTCTTCTCTTCTTGAGATAATTTCTCTTTAACAGCACTAATGCAAAGCATTAGCTCCGCTGTTCAGCTACAGCGGTCTTTGGTAAGGATGAGAAAGCAGGCTTTTCAGTGGTCAGCACTTTGGTTATCAGTGATGGGCATACTGCTAATTGGCAAAATAATGAAACAAGTGTAGCTTTGCTCTGTTTGCATACTTTAGACAAATGATTGCTATTTATTATTGCTAAAATTGTTAGGCGCTGTAAAAACCCCCCCACAAAACATAGAACACATCTTTCTTCCAGGAGTACAGCCTCAAGGCAAAATTCATTCTTTTTCTTGTGCATAAATTCCAAGTTGCTATATATTTTTTAGCATGGAGATTACCTTATGCAGGACCTTATTCTTGTGGTTTAAAAGCCTCACAAAGATTTCTAAAGGGCTGTTTTGGGGGGTATATTGCACAGGTAAAGTAGGAAGACAATGTGTATGAAACTTAATCTCCAGAATATTTTTCTACACATCTATGTGTCAGATGCTGACAACTTGGAAATGAATGTGAGTGACAGTCGAGTTTACCAGAATCAACCAGTTTTGTTTTAGATGCAAGTCAAGCTCCTTGGTGGATGGACTTGGTGGTTTGTCCAAAATCTGCATCAGACACCATATCAAGCAGTTTTGTGCTCATACAGCAGCCACTTCTACCTGCTTCCAGTTTGGTGTAGTGGTTAGGAGTGTGGACTCTAATCTGGGAGAACTAGGTTTGATTCCCTACTCCTTCACATGCAGCTGCTGGTGTGACCTTGGGTCAGTCACAAGCTCTCTCAGAGCTGTTCTCTCAAGGGCAGTTCTCGAAAGAGCTCTCTCAGCCCCACCTACCTCACAGGGTGTCTGTTGTGGGGAGGGGAAGGGAAAGGAGATTGTAAACTGCTCTGAGACTTCTTCGGGTAGTGAAGGGCGGGGTATAAATCTCTTCTTCTCCTTCCTATGCTGTGGGAACATAAGAACATAAGAGACGCCAATGTTGGATCAGGCCAAAGGCCCATCCAGTCCAACACTCTGTGTCACACAGTGGCCAGAAATACCAGGTGCCATCAGGAGGTCCACCAGTGGGGCCAGGACACTGGAAGCCCTCCACTGTTGCTCCCCCCAGCACCAAGAATACAGAGCATCACTTGCCCCAGAGTCCCTATCTATACCTTGTGGCTAATAGCCACTGATGGACCTCTGCTCCATATGCTTATCTAATTCCCATTTGAAGCTGGATCATGAGCGCACGAAGGCAGCTAATCAAAGCAGCTGTTTATCATGATTCCGGATGAATGTTATGGGGCTGCCTAGGGAAGAGAGACCTCTCCTCCCTCAAGTAACTACACCACCCACGAAGTTGTGCGAGGATGCAAATGCGTGAATAATTCCCAATCTGAATCGCCTGCCCCTTTCCTGTTAGCAAACACCCAGTCTCGATGAGCCAAGAATACAGTGAAAAATGCCAGCCATAATGGAACCCTTCTTTCCAAGTCAACAAAGTTAAAACAACAATAACTTGGTAGGCACAGAGGGAGGGTCTCCAAAACAAACTGCATTTCCCATAAGGGCAGTGCGAGAAGGTGCATCTAGAAACTGATCCACCCGCCTTTGCTATTAAGGCTGAGGTAGAAACGAGGGACATCTTGCCATTTCAAGTCACAAACTGTGAAGTGTTTAATGTGTTGTGCACTTAAAGGATGTGACAAACAGCAGATTGGGAGACAGCAGCGGATGTGGGAAGCTGTGGGTAAATGATATGTTGATCACACATGCAGTCGTCCTTTTCTGCACAATTGAACATGCCTGAGTTGTTCAAACATGGACAAACCAACCATTCTTCTGAGTACAGTCCTCTTTCCCCCCCCCCATTTCCAGGAAATCCAGAAGGAGAAAAGAAAGCTGAGAAGAACGCCCCAGACGATAAGGTGCCTGCCTGCCCTTCCTCGGGAGTGTGTGGGAAAGAAGCAAGAACACTGTAGTGTACCCTTTTCTAAGAGAGACGCTGGTGCTCAAGCTGGCTGGGACTTGCATGCGTTGACCGCCAGGCCCTGCACCTTAATCCCAGATGCGTTTATGAGCTAGTTGGAGTCAGTATAGGGCAGTGGTGGCGAACCTATGGCACGGGTGCCAGAGGTGGCACTCAGAGCCCTCTCTGTGGCCACGCCTGCCATCGCCCCAGCCAGGCCCAGGCCATCATTAAAGTGTTGAATTCTCTGCCAAATAATTTTAAGTAAAGGAAAGCATTTGGGATCGCTTTCCTTACTTTGTTTGGATCATCTTAAGTTAATGTATGAGTGGTTTTTTCTAAAGTAAAACCTCAGTATTCAGGTTAAATTGCCGTGTTGGCACTTTGCGATAAATAAGTGGGTTTTGGGTCGCAGTTTGGGCACTCGGTCTCTAAAAGGTTCGCCATCACTGGCATAGGGGAAAAGCAGGCTTCATGTGGAGGAGCGGGGAATCAAGCCCAGCTCTTCCAGATTACAGTCCACCTCTCTTACCTGCGACACCACACTGGCTGGTGTAGAAACTACTCTGGAACAACCCTGTATTTATGTTGTGGATTTTCAGCAATATCTGCAGTTTTACCCTGGTCACTCTACAGCAGTGCATGAATGTAATAATGAAGTGGTGCATGAAGCTCATGCCCTTCCTTACCTAGTTCATTATATGATGCCAGCATTTTTCTGAAAACCAGCATTGTTAGGAAAAAGTATCTTGACAGGGTTGCCATTTTGGTAAGGGAAGAAATGTAGGGAAGAGAGGACAAATAAGTTGGGCCTCTCCATCACTGTGCTAGGGCCAAAACTTCAGAGCTGGAGTGGGGACCAATACCAAAGAGGGACCAATACAGATATCTTGCAGCTGGCCCCGCCATGCCAGCCATCTTTTCATATTAGGACAGGGTTGCTAGGTCCCTTCGTCGCGCTGGCAGGGGATTTAGGAGGCATTCCAGGGGTGGGCAGGGACAAGGTGGCACGTCGGCGATCTTGGGGGCAACACTCTGCTTTTTGGGCAAAACTCTATGGTAAAAATGGCCTCAAACCATAGAGTTTTGCCCCAAAAGCAGAGCATCACCCCCCCCCCAATGTCACCAATGTGTTGACGTCGCTTCTGGGTGACATCAGCACGTTGTGCGTGGCGTCACTGTTTGGGGGATGGGGGGAATTTCCAGCTGGCTGGTGGTGGGCAGGTGCCCACAAAAGCAGGGGATCCCCCACCCCCACCTGGGGAATGGTATCCCTATATTAGGGTTACCAGCTCTGGGTTGGGAAATACTTAGAGATTTTGGGGGTGGAGCCCAGGGAGGGCGGGGTTTGGGGAAGGGAGGGACCTCAGCAGAGTATAATGCCACAGAGTCCACCCTCCTAAGCCGCCATTTTCTCAAGGGGAACTGATCTTGGTCTTCTGGAGATCAACTGTAAAAGCGGAAGATCTTCAGGTTCCAGCTGGAGGCTAGCGACCATATTTTATACGCAGCAGTTCTCCTGGGGAATTGCGGCATTTTCTCCACAACTTCGCAAGAGTTGCCTCATACATTTTTATCTTGCTTTTCCTTCAGGGTGCTCAAGGCAGCACACCACACTGTCCCCTCCTCCATTTTGTATCCTCAGAATGACCATGTGAGGTGGTTAGGCTGGGAGATGGTGATTGACCCAAAATTATCCAGGGAGTTGTGTAGTAAGGCAGAGGTTTGAAACAGGGTCTCTCCAGGCCTGGTCCCCCCCCACAAACCATACTAGCCCTTAGGGGCATACGTAGGGTTGCCAAGTCGTTTTCTTGCCGCAGTGGGGGACTCCCGGCTGGCGGCTGGAGTGCGCGCGCGCCGCACGCACGTCACCCGGAAGTGACGTGACAATGCCAGGCACGCTGGGGCGGGGCAACGACCATCCGAGGGAAAACCATAGAGTTTTCCCTCGGATGACCGTGGCCCCACCCCCAGCGTGCCCGGCGTGGTCACGTCACTTCTGGGTGACGTGCATGGTGGGTGGGGTTCCCCCTGGGGCTCGATCCGCCGGCGGCGGGGAACGGGCCTCTGGGGCAGGGGTTTCCCCACCCCCCGGGGGGACTTGGCAAGCCTAGGCATACGGCAAAAGGCATGATCCGTCCCTCACGTTGAGTCCATAAATTAGCACTGCTTGCTTGTGTAGGTCTGTGACAGAGGGGACATTTAAAGCAGCCAATGTAGTGTGGTGGTTTGTGACAGAGTTTGCCAAATCCAGGTCCAGAAATTCCTGGAGATTTGAGAGCGGAGCCGGGGAGGGTGGGCTTTAGAGTGGTGAGAGACATCAGTAGGGTATAATACAGTCCACCTTCCAAAACAGCCACTTCCTCCAGGATAAGCGGAATACATGTTTTAAATAATAAATAAATAAGGTATTTCTGTCGTCTGGAGCAATGTTCCCTCTAAGCTGTGGAGTCTTGTGAGCAAAAATTCTATCTTGTGAGCTACTGGCATTTAAGTTGTGAGTGAACAATTTGGCTACTGCATAAATTAGTTTGCTCTGAAGCCATCCTTCCTGAGCTAAGACAAAAACATGTGAGCTGGAGGCTAAAAAACTGTGAGCTAGCTCACACTAACTCAGCTTAGAGGGAACACTGGTCTGGAGATAAATGTAATTCCAGGGGATCTCCAGCCCCCACCAGCGGCTGGCTGTAATGTATTCAATAGCTGCCATTGAATGCATGATGTATGTGAAACATCTAATTGACTTGCCATGTTGAGCTTCGTCCTGGGCTAGGATCCAAATCCATCCAATCGCATTGGTAGCCCAGGAAGCACCTAGCCAATCACCTTACAGCAAGCTCCCTGAGCGGGAACGTCCGTGATTGGTCCTTATATGAACAACCGTATTGGTTGGTATTTGTACAGTGGGTGTGGCTACAGCCGAAAGAGTTTAAAAGCAGGACAACTGCAATATAAAACCTGAGCTGTTCTGGCTATCAGATGTTGATCTGTGTTGGAGTTGTGTTCGAGTTGAAGAATAAAGCTGTGTTCTTGCTGAATCACTCTCCGACTTCTTTGTTAAGCGAGCGACTTAACACTGGCAACTCTAGTCAGACTAGGGAACAGAGTCCAAATTCCTCTGCTGCCATGAAGCTCACTGGGTGACTGTAGGCCGCTCTCTCTCTTTCAGCATAAACCGCCTCAAAGGGTTTGTTATATGAGGCTACAATGCAGGAGAGGGAGAACAATATATGTTGCCTTGGAGGAATGGCGGGATAAAAATGAAGCAGATCGTGCAAGACATAAATATCTGCCGTGAGGTAGTTGTTTCTTTGCACCACCCTCAAGTTTAAGAAGCGAAAGTACTGGGGGGGGGTGCCTTTGGGGAGTGTTTGCAAGGGAACCCCTGATCTGGGCTTCTGTTAGGAGCTCCATTGCCCAGCCATAAAGTGTGTTTTTATTCTCTTGGACAGAATAAGAAACAGCAGTCTGGATTTCCGCAGTCCCACTATTTCATTGCACTTTATCGTTTCAAAGCCTTGGAGAAGGATGACCTGGATTTCCAGTGAGTGCTAAGGAGAAGGGGGGGCGGATATTTGTCACTTTCCCACCCAAGCAGAATGTACCAGGCTCAGGTGGTCTTGAGATCTCTGTCTGGCAGGGGAGGGGGCTTTATCAGCATGGGAGTGACTGGGCTGAGTCTCTGCTTGGCTAAGCTGTCGGCAACTGAATTGAACCCTGTCACCCGAGGGCCATTCTGCATATTGCTGTGTTTGATACTGAGGTTAAGGTCAGCACTGGGGGAAGTGTCGTGGGAAGGCAGCGTGGTATGCCAAGTTTCTATTCTGGTTTCGAGACCAGAGTGGATCAAGTCTATTTGGCATATGAGTGGCCAGCACACAAGTCCAAGGAAGTAACTCATAGAAAAACTGATTTTATTCTACTGCAGAAAGGTCCAGCGGTTAGAACTCACGTTCTGTCAGCAGGCTGCAGGATACAGTTCATCTTGCATGAGGACAGAGTCTATTTTCTCAGATCTTGTGGTGGAAAGATATTGCTTTCATGCATCTCCTTGCCGATAAAGAGATCAGAACAAAGACATCGGAAGAGGGCAATAAACCCTGTTTTCGCAGGTTTCTAAACTTGAGCCAATAGAGCGAGCTGATGTGACCTTCAAATGTACCTAAACTACATCTCCCAGTATGCAAAGGATTTTAAAGATACTGAACTATTTACCAATAGATTTGCCAATAGATATTTACCAAGACAGATGACTGTCTTACTAAAATGTGCTAGGGGCAGCACAGTTTCCTTCTTCCCAACGGCTGAGTGGAAATCTGTACTTAGAGGCCTTTTTGAGGCAGCAAAGGGAAGCAAAGTCTCGCCTCAAACATAGTTTCCCACCACAAATAGTTCTTCTGCTAGGCTGGAAGATTCTGATGTGAGAGTGTTTTCAAACAAGTGCTCCCACTTGTTCTACGCAGTAGAGAGTTGACCCAGGGACTTAAATTTGGCATTTAGTTATGCCGGCCACATGACCACGGAGAAGTCTTTGGACAGCGCTGGCTCTTTGGCTTGGAAACGGAGATGAGCACCGCCCCCTAGAGCTGGATCCAACTGGCTTTCGAGCAAGGGAAACCTTTACCTCAAAGAGCTCAGGCTGGTGTACACTAATCTTCCGCACCCAATTCTATCTTCATGCTGGCTCTCTGAAGTAGGTTTGTCTGAGAGTGACTTGATCCAAAGCTGCATAGTGGATTTCATGGTGGGTGGGGAGGATCTGAAGCATGTTCTGATGGCGGCTTTGAACTTATTGTGACATTGGGGGAGGAAAATGAATATGGCCGTTTCTAGGCAACGCTCAATGCTCTCCACATCCTTCCTTGTCTTTGTGAGCGACCGACAGTGCTTATGAGGGAGGTTGGTTAAGTAGTTGGTTAAGTACAGAGGACGAGGGAAATAATTTAGCAACCTGTCCCGGATACCAGAGTCTGAATGTGTATGGATGTCATGGCTTGCACAGCAGTAATCCGCCCCCACCTTGGATCTATTCTCTTTCAGCCCTGGGGACAAAATCGCTATTGTTGATGACTCTAATGAAGAATGGTGGCGGGTAAGGAGGAGGGGGAAGAGATGGGGGGGCAGTAAGGGGTGAGAGTTAAGGTAGCAAGCCTAAGACACCTGTGTAACAGCCCAGCTTTATCATTCTGGGGGAAAGCCCTTAAGCGGATAGTTTTTTCAAACTGTGTGTAGAATGTGTTCATTATTACTTCAGTTATCCTATGTTTCAGTTGATGGGTTTTAATCCTTTAATTGTCTGTTCGCTGTGTTCAGGAGCTTAGGCTAAATACGGGTAGAAATTCGTAATAAATAACGTCTGAGGTTTGCCTCGCTTCTGGCTTTAGAAGTAGGCCATTTGATTATGTTTTCTCTATTGACATATTTTTTATCCTGCTGTCCCTCCAGGGAGCTGAGGGCCAACACCTCTATTTTATCCTCACCGGTGAGGTAGGTTAGGCTGAGAGAGATTGTCCCAAGATGACCCAGTGAGATTCATGGCGGAACGGAATTCGAACCCAGGTCTCCCTAGACCAGTCGCTGCACTGATCTGATGAAATCAGGTCAAAGTCAAGCAGCATGGTTATGTAATTATGAATTTAACTTGTCCTGTGACTTCTTGTCTCGAGGGCCATTGATAGTACCTCCATCACACAGATTTCCTGGTGGTAGCCACACAAATAAAGGTGTAAGGGCAATAGTCACAAGGGGAACCAGTGTAGTGGCATAACGGTTAGAGCAGAAGTCCCCGACATTTTTGAGCCTCTGGGCACCTTTGGAATTTTGACACTACGTGGTGGGTACGGCCTCAAAATGGCTGCTGCAAGAGGCGGAGATAACCACCACAAAATGGCTGCCACAGCTTAACTTCAGTCACACAGTGAAAATCCTTGTGCTGTGTTGGCAGCTGCTGCTGAAGCAACTTTAAAAAAAATCTACATAGCCAATCAAATCTCCAGTAACCTGTCACAAGTTCTGCTGGGCAAAAGCACCGCCTGTCCCCACCCACTTTATAAAAACAGTAGCCAGGCACCAGAAAAGGTATTAGTAGACACCATGGTGCCCAAAAGCACCACATTGGGGACCCCTGAATTAGAGGTTCAGACTAGGATCTGGGAGACCAGGTTTGAATCCCCACTCTGCCGTGGAAGCTCACTGAGTGACCGTGGGCCACTCACAGACTCTCAGCCTAACCTCCCTTACAGGGTTGTTGTGAGGTTAAAAGGGAGAAGACAATGATGGAAGCCACTTTGGGTCTCATTTTAGGAGAAAAACGGGATGTAAATGAAGTAATTAAATAAAGGGGGTGGTGGGGCAGGCGGATTGACGTGAGGGTTTCTGGTTCTTTGAAAATACCTAGGTAGTGAAGGGCGGGGTAGTGAAGGGCGGGGTATAAATCCAATCTCTTCTCTTCTCTTCTCTTCTTCTCTTCTTCTATTTAAATCTTTAAGAATGAATTCCCCCGCAATCTCCAAGAATTGTTGCCATGTGTCAGGGCAGTAAAGCCTGCCTAAAACACACTGGCACTTGTAGAAGAGGCCTTTGTTAGAGACCGCGCACATACTAGGCACAAATGTGTAATGGAGATCCAACACCTGTTTTTTTTTTTTTAATGAAAAGCAGCCTTGGAGGAGGGGGATTTTGAACAGAGATATGGTGATGGGGAGGACATGCTTAATCCTTCCTTCCCTGTCCTTTCTCTACTGCAAATCACTCTTCCAAGGGACTCCCCTCCCTCCCCCGCTTGAGGTTCCAAATGCATCTTTCTGTGTTTTTTCCAGTTGGCATTTAATCCTCTCCCCAAACCAGACTTATTTCTAGTGAGGTTAAAAAAAGAGAGAGGGAATGGGATGAGTGGACCAGTTGTGAGGAAATCAGTTGATGAAGGGGTTAGGCATCTGTTTCTGTCTAATGATGCTCCTTGCCTCCTCCCTTGTCCCAGCGTTATCATTAGGAAGAAACCACAGGGTTTTGACCACCATTTTGTTGCATGCCACACAGTTCTACCCTTACACAATAACTGCTTGTTAACCTCTTTGCGGCAACACACTGAACTTTTCCGTAAAGAATTTAAAAGGACATTATTATAGTCACTACGTTTTCGACTTTTCTGCATTCTCATTTTCCTTGCTTGTGTGATGGTGCTTTGATTTTTCCCCCCTGTTCTGCACTTGTTTTGCTCCCTCTGGTGGTTGCTTCAATATTACATTGCTGTATGTCTGGCATAAAAACCTGCAGTTTAAGTCTGCAGGGAGATATGCCAAACATAAGGCAGTGGAATATTGAATCGACCACTAGAGGGAGCAAAACACATGCGGCTAAGAAAAAAACAACAACCCAAAGCTACAGGGATACACGAAAATGAGAATGTGGAAAAGCCTTTTAAGTCTTTCCTTTGCAAAATGTTACCTTTTATAAGAGTTCAGTTTTTTTACAATACTTTTTTCCCTGTAATGTTCCCCAATGTACAACAGACAAATCTGCTGTCCTAGGAATAGCTTTATAAGAAATCGAGCATCTCAGCTATTACTTGTTGAGACGAGGATGTTCTTGGGGAAAGGTTAACTGCAAGCTGCCAAGATTTGCTGTTCTGCAAAGAATAATCAGAACTGTAGCAGCCTGGTCCTGTTAGGGGGTTATGGGAGGGCTGTTGAATGGGGTGGGGGCGGAGGAAGTGTTGACATTTTTGTGACTTATCCATATATGTGATTTGCCTAGGGCAAGATTGGGGAGAAGATTGGCTTCTTTCCACCCAATTTCATCATACGTGTACGGGCAGGAGAACGAGTGCACAAGGTGATGCGGTCCTTCGTAGGCAACAGGGAGATTGGGCAGATCACGTTAAAAAAGGATCAGGTACGTCATTTGTACACACACTTGTCTGTGTATGCCTGTACACTTGGGCTAGGGTTGTCAGCCTGGCCCCCGCAAATAGAGGGGAGTTTTCAGGGAGCAGAACCTTAGAAAAACTAGATTCACATGCATCGCAACTTGGCTTGAAGTTGCAACGTTTTGCTGGAAGTGACGTCACAGTCATTCACAATTCTCTAGGAATCTCCCAAATCTGTATGGTAAGGATAACCGCTGGAATGATCACGTAACTTTGGACTACATGTTTTGTGTCGGGGATGGCAAGTCTGCTTTTTATAAACCTGTGAAAACCCTGCCACCTTGAAGAGAAGCTTCACCTCCCTCCCTCCCCGAAAAACCTCCCCAGGGGTCTTTTTTTTACCAGTGGTGGCCAATGTTCCCTCTAAGCTGTGGAGTCCTGTGAGCAAAAATTCTACTTTGTGAGCTACTGGCATTAAAGTTGTGAGCGAGCGATTTGGCTGCTGCATGAATTACTTTGCTCTGGAACCCTCCTTCCTGAGCTAAGACAAAAATGTGTGAGCCGGAGGCTAAAAAACTGTGAGCCAGCTCACACTAACTCAGCTTAGAGGGAACACTGGTGGTGGCAGTAGAGGGAAGTGCTGTCAAGTCACATCTGATTCATGGCAACCCTGTAGGGTTTTCAGGACAAGAGATGTTCCAGCCTCTGCATAGCAGCCCTGGACTTCCTTGGTGGTCTCCCATCTAAATACTAACCGGGGCCAGCCCCGCTTAGTTTCTGATATCTGACAAGATCAGGCTAGCTTGGGCTGTTCCATTCTTTCTGACTCATCAATCTATATATGTAATAGCCAAGGCGCCCCCTGCGTGCGGATATCTAAATCCACACATTGGGGACACCTGGGGGGCAGGGAGATTTTCCTGCACATTTGGGGCAATCCCAAGATGTGCAGAAAAATCTGAAAATTGAAAAAAATATAAGGGGGATACCTAAATCCCCCCAAAAGCATCTACGTCACATCTGGGTGACGTAGATGCGGGACGCGTGCGTGCACCGGGAGCTGCCCAGGAGTCCCCCGCCAAGGAGGTGAGTGCCATTTGGCAACCCTACTTACCACTAGGCACTGTAGCAGAGCCGTTGCTGCTTGCGGCAGTGTGCAGGGGAGAAGCTTTGGCGTGCCACAGCTGGGAGCCCTGGCCATTGCTTGGGGGGCGGGGAGCCTGGCCAGCCCAGTAGCTAGGAGCCGCGCAGGGCTTGTCGCCGCTGCTGCTGGCAGTGGCAGCGGTGAGGGGAACGGGAGGGAGGGAGAAGCCTTGGAGGGCCGGTGGCTAGAGCCATGGATATTGTTGCTGTCGGGGGGGGGGGAAGCCCGGTGGCTGGGAGCCGCACTGGGCTCACCGCCGTTGCTGCTGG